CACCCTGGGTGGGGCTTCCCATTATCCACAGCCAGAACTATGCTAAGTTATTATGCTAGTTATGCTAGTTTAGTTATTATATGCTCTTGATCCATATTCACACAGCCTGCATCTAGCTGTCTCTGAAGTCCCACAAATGAGTGCATGAGGCTTTGCGGGGGGGGGCATCTAGATACAGGCCACAACAGCTCTGATCTCATGAAAGGATTGATCCATTTATGGATTCATAGATTAAGAAGTTTTGGGAAGGAGTTTTGTTATAAAACCAAGAGCTCTCTTTGCTCCCTGGCTGTCAAGGAGTGAATAGCTTTGGTCCACCACATACTCCCTGCCATGATGTTCTGCCCTGCCACAGGCCCAGAGTGATGAAACCAAATCACCATGCACTAAAGACTCTGAAACTGTGAGCCAAAATAAATATGTCCTCCTTTTATTTATTTTTTGTTTTGTCTTGTTTTTTTGTTTTTGTTTTTGTTTTTTTGGTACCAGGGATTGAGCTTATGTCCTCCTTTTAAGTTGCTTATCTCAGGTATTTTGTCACAGTGACAGAAAGCTACAACAATGGATTATGGTATAGGTTTATCACAAATCTAATCATTCCTGGTAGTCTTCTAGGCTTTAGTCCTACAGAACTGAATTCTCTCATTAGGAACAATTTTATATTTAGTAATTACACCACAATATTTTGCCTTCTGACCTAATTATAAATAACTTATCTTATTCTTTGTTGAGAATGTCAGAGAAAAATAGAAATAGACCACTGGTTTGCTAATGAACTCACTAGTGACCTAAATTAATTAGCTTGATTGAATTGCATTTTTGAAAAACTCTCATTTTTTCAAAGGAACTTTATTCTAGTTTCTTATTCATGGAGGGAAAAAAAGCAAGCATGCAACATAGTAAGGGCCCTCCTTTTCAGATTTTAGTCTGTCTCACACATGACCCCCACACACCCGCGTATCATATATTTTGTCACTTGCAGGTCTTTTAGCCCATTTAAAGAAATGTGATTCCTAGGATATGAGGTCAAGTTTTTTGATAAACATTATCATGTAATGTTTCCATTTACCTGGAGGTTAAATTCTTCCTACTAGAAAATATAAAAACTGCAGGCAGCTAAACATTCTGCAGAAGGTATACATATCTTCTGAGGAGAAATATGGCTTCCCAGATCATATACAATGGTACTTTGGTACATGAATTTAATTCATTCCACAATTCTAGGGAAATTGGCCACATTCATGTTTGTGCAAAAAGATGTTGTGGTTGTGTCTGTCACCCAGTGTGAGTACACACACACACACACACACATACACACAAAACAAAACCCAAAAAACTCACAAAATTTTGCCAAATAGTTCTATTTGCAAAAACTTTCATGAACTGAGGTACCACTGTATTTGATTTTAAAATACCATTCTGTAGAAATATATATACAGGGGACTTGCTTTTGATTATTATACTACATAAGTGTAAAAGATTCACAGTCATGGGCAGGGTATTTAGCTCAGTGGTTCTGCCGCCTGCCTCGCAAGTGCAAGGACCCGAGTTCGATCCCCAGTACACCCCCCAAAAAAGATTCAGTTGATTTATATGTTTTATGAATGTTTGTGCTGGCTCAGCAAGGCTGCAAAGTCTTCCAGTGATTCAGTATAATTTTGCTGGCTGACACTGGCCCAAATACTTCATGTGACTTTACTGGCCGACTTGCTCAAGGATGGCAATCATAGAACACTGTAGTTACACTGCAAAGCATGAATGCTCAAGAAAGTTGTAAAACCTTAACATCAAAGAGTAAAAATAGTAACAGCTGATGATTTTTGCAGTTTTCCACAACCTGATGAGCTAATGATTAACAGTTGGAAACATCAGGCATAGAGCTATGCACAATTTATGTCCAATATCTAACTCTCTGGACTGTCTTGTGGGTCAGCACTATTACAGGTGTTCCTCAAATCTCTGATGGGGTCACATCCCAATGTACTCACCATGACTAAAAAAATATCTTAAGTCAAAAATGCATTCAATGCACCTAAACTAACAAACATAGTTTAGCTTAGCCTACTTCCAACAGGCTCAGGATATTTGTGTTAGTTCATAGCTGGACAAAATAATTTAATACAAAGCCTATTTTATAATGAAGTCTGAGTATCTCTATGTAATTTATTGAATACTGTATTGAAAGTAATAATCAGAATGGCTGTATGCACAGACTTTTGAGCCATCATAAAGTTGAAAAGTTCTAAGTCAGGGACCATCTATTCTTACCACAGGAAACTGTGGTAGATATTTATTTGCAGAATTGAGTAGTGGAATCAAAGTTTGAACTCTGTTTAGCTAATCTTACCATTGTGTGACTATAAATGATGACTGATATTGAGGTTATCACTTGAATTGGCAAATTTCATCACACTTCTTCCTTCAGTCAACTTAAAATGGATGTTACTAACAAAAGTCTTGAATGAGACTATGTCATAGATCTGCCTCCCCCGCAAAAAAAATTTTTTTCACTTGTTTTCAGGACTTCCCAAATATTTTACTAGTTAACAAATACATTACTGTCCAAAAGGGAGCTGAGCCCTGCAGATATGTAGCCTCCTGTAAGTGGTGAATAACCTTAGGGAACTCCAGTAACCAGACCAACAAAGCACTCTTAGGAGTTTGTCCTCTGGCCTGTTTTATTCTAGCGGCATGAGTGATTTATACACTCAGAATGTCTCTACATCCTGTAGGGACCACAACCCCATTCTCTCTCCTCAGCCCGAGTGTTTAGTCTTTCTCTTCCTAAGTCTGTCAATGTACACTTTGAAATTTCCAAACTTGTGTTGAAATTTGTAGTAATTTTTCAATCATCCAGCACATCTAGGGTGACATGTTTAAGCATTAGCCCTTACAATCTTCTCTGGATCACTTTAAAAGCCATTCATTTAAAGATGCAAAAAATTTAATATTATTCAATATTAATTAATATGAATTAATATAAATTCAATATTATTATTTCTAACAATTCTCACTGTCCATATGTGCACAGGAGCAAAACTAGTTTCAGTAAAAACATTTGGTAACACCGTGGAGATACAGGGTGGTACTGGGCTAGTGCTAATTGTTGTGGGCGGAGCCTAAGGGTGGCCCGGCCCTTCATCTCTTCCCTGCCCCCTTCTTCCTCCTTTGATTAAAGGCTCATATTGTAGAACCCGGATGGCACAGCCCCAGGAGACAGTTACACCGTATATCCTTCCCTGCTCCCACGCCCCAACACGGAACAATCACGCTACTCTGCATGGGCCATAAAGCACTACTTGCCCCCCTTCTCTTCCTGTTTGCCTTCCATCATAAAGAGCGAGCGAGCGGCCATTAGCTCCCGACAAGCCATGGTCCCACCTGGCCCCACTTAAGAGTAATCTTGGTCGTGGTCTTCATCTCCCACCACTCACCCTAGCTTTGGACCTCACTGCAGTTAATAACATCTTTACGACAAAAATTTTCTCTTCCATTTCATCACCTACACAAAATTTGCTCTGTTAATTTTGAATTTAAAGACTGTAAGACTGTTTGAGAAGAATTTAACAGCCTTCTTCCAGAATAATCTACTTGGACTATACACAATCATATTCTAAAATGCAGGCAGAGAAAGCATTTTAGAGGGAAAGACAAAAACAACAAAAAACCCCTCAGAATGGCAAAATGACTAGTTCAAGGTCACTAAGCATCTAAGAGCAGAGGACAGCTGTCCTGACTCATGGACCTACCTGTTTCTCATCAGGCTCTGAAGTTTCAAGAGTAGGAGACAGTGACTTCAGGATTTGGAAGCAGTAAGATTCTCCTGAGTTGATCTGGAGCCCAGGCTCACAATTTACAATTATAGTTGTGTGTCCGTGTGTGCTTTGTAAGTTCTAATTATATACAAAGGGACCCCCCACTTTCCTAAACCCATAGCCGATGATGTAGATCATGTGCTGTTAAATAATTCAATGAAAAAGAATTCCACAGTCAAGGTGGGAAACTCTATTATACCCCCAATCGCCAACATTTCTGGAGTACTAGAAAGCATGCTGGCACATTAAAAATTGGACAGGGCAGTAAAGAAGTACCTTAATCCAATGGTCCCCAAATGTATTTGGTTACCAACTATTTCTGCCTCAGGACTATTCATACATATTCTATGTAACTAATAATCTTTTTCTAATGGGACATTTTAATGAGATTATACACTGAAAAGTGCATAAACACTAATAAAGGACTCATCAAGGAAGCAGTTTGTGAAAGTAAAAATTTTTATTCTGATTTCTCAATGTATAGTTCAATATGCCAGTTTTTAATGGCAAAAATTTGGTTCCACTGAAACTCCATAATGCTACAGAGAGCTACTACTTTTTCCAGGAAGTAGGTAAACAACTGGAAAGAGAAAGCACACTTTCTAGCAGCGTGGCAACTTAAACCACAGACCCTGGTAGATCTGTAACTTTTACACTAAAAATGGCACGAACATTTATTAGCTGGTGACAGAAGTGAGAAATGGGGAACAAGACATGAGCACCAAAAGGTGCACTATATCTACTATAAAGACAGACAACCAAATATATCTATCTATTAGCATTTTAAAGGATAATTATAGAAAAGGGAACCAAAATTTTACTCAAATGTTTTTTAGAGCCTTTCTGTAGAGATACAAATATATATATATATATATATATTTATCCAAAAATATGTTTTATACAGATAAATGTTTCTCAATTAAAGATGGGTCCAAAGCTATAGTTATAACATAAAGCAGTCTTTTATAAGACTATCCACCTGAATTTTTAATTTCTTTAAAGTTAGTGCATTAGTTTTCCAAATGTAATTACCTGACATCTTTTTATAGATATAAATCAAGTAGGCGTTGTCTTTTAAAAGGGTGCACAGGATATTTCTAAGATGCTGTGCATATGAAACTTATGACAAGCCCCCAATAAGAATAATTTTTAATAAACATATCAAAAAGGGCTACATAAGTTGGATTTTCCTCTTCATAGCAAATATTTTGATCACCAGTTGTTGAGTATTGAAAATGCACAAGAAAGATTTTCACAAGTACTTTTACGTTAAGATATTTTGATTCTCTATATATGGCAATAAATCATCATGTTGTAACCATTAGTATATATATATTTTTTAAAATGGGAGATTAACACTAATAATGTCTATGTATAAAATAAAGCACACAATTATTTTGGTGATTTTACAAATTGCTTTTCCCAGGTGTAAAGGCTACAAAAATTCCTAAAATACAGAACACTGAAAACATATTAAAGTTTGACATCTGACTTTATAGTATTTCCATTTTACCCTGAAAGATAACTTAAAAAATATGACCTTGTTGTTACAGGTCACTTTGCTGATATAAAAAATTGGTGAGTGCAAGAAACTGTTTCACTGATATGTGGAATTTCTGCAAATAATTTTTTTTCTTCTCCAAATCATTAGAAAAATGTTTGAAGATTAAAAAACAAAATAAAATATGTGGTGGTCCCTAAACTATTTTGAAGGCAGGTAGCTTAGTCTAAGCTAAAATATTTTTCACTCATAGTAATCATCCCCCTTCAAATGCCCTTTTAAAAAAATGCATGAAACAGTACAATAGCAAGAATCAAAAGAGCAGAAACTGTATTTTTAAGAACAGAAAAAATCTCTAGTGCTGAAAGATATAGTAAAAAGCAGATTTCTTTGGGGACATTGATGAATTAATTTGATTCATTATGTAGATTTCTCTTTTCTATTACGGGGAGAGTCTGCTCCATTTGACGTCACTGTTCCATTCACACCATTTTCTAAAAAGAGAAAATTATCACTGTTATTCTCATAAGTAAATGCAGGCAATAATTTTTATACACAAAGGTACCATCTGAAAAAAAAAAAATTAAAGTCCAGTATACAGTCAAGTAAAACTTACTAGATTTAATCAAGCATAAAACCTGGTAAATGAACATGATGAACTGAAAGCAGAAAATTAAAAAACAGTAACCACTACTGGAAGCAGAAAAGAGTAATAAAATAGAAAATTACTTAAAAGAATATACAAGACAGGCAAGGTGGTGCATGCCTATAACTCCAGCAGGCTGAGGAAGGAGGATCTCTTCAAATTCAAGGCCAGCCTGAGCATAGTGAGTCTTTGACCCAAAACAAAGAAACAAAAAACCAAACAACAACAAAAACCCAAGAATTTAAAAATCAAGGAATAGTTTTGGTAGAAATTAAAAAAAAAAAATCTCTTCATGTGTGACAGCAAAGTCCTTTGATGAGACATTTCTTTACAGCAATTTAAGATGATGTTGATGTTTAAGAGTGTATCATGGCTTTAGCTCAGTGGTTCTGCCACCTGCCTTGCAAGCTCAAGGTCTTGAGTTCAATCCCTGGTACAAAAAAAAAAGTGTATCATGGCTTTTTTAAATTTTATTTTTGCAGTTCTGGGCAATCAAATCCAGGGGTGCTGTGCCACTAAGCTACATCCCCAGTCCTTTCTGTTTTTTAACTTTGGAGTCAGGATCTTATTAAATTGCCCAGATAGAACTTGAACTTGTGATCCTCCTGCCTCACATCCCTCAGTGCTCAGCATACAGGAGTGTATGCTTCCTTCTTAAAGCCGATAATACATAGTAACTAATGTCTGAGGAGTCCTCTCTCCAAACACAGCCACACAATTTGAAAATAAAAATCAGTGTTTCATAGCTCTGGAAAATAAGAAGGCAGACAGGACTTATTGTCTAGGTTCTAGAAGGAAAAGAAAATGAACCAAGACAACTGCATTAATCACCATTTTCTTGAAATAATCCAAACACTTGATGATCTACACCTGCAGATTCAGAGGCTCAGCCAGCGAGCACAATAGAGGGAGGGATAGCCTAGGGTTGAGTGCAGGCAGAGCAAGTGGTCAAACTCTCAGGAAAAGAACTGATATTCTGTGTGTATTTCTCCCTCAACATTTTTGCACATGTGATACACTGGCTGTTTATGATTAAAAGCTATCAAAAGTTCACAACCACTGCTCTAGGTCCTCCTATGAGCCCAGTATTACATTGATACTCAAACCAAAGACATTACAACAGAAAATACAGGCAATATCCTTTAATACACATATAGAAGACCTCAGCAAAATCCAAGCACATCAAATCCTGAAACATAAAAGCAAGTATACACCACGACCAAATGGGATTTATTTCAGGAATGCAATGTTAGTCTATTATCTTAAAATCAGTAAATGTAATAAGAAAAAAAACCCAGATCAGTTCAGATGCAGAAAGAACTGACAAAATCAATTATCTTTTCATAATAAAAACAGAGCTGGGAGAGGAGCTCAGTGGCAGATCACTTGCCTAACGCATGGCATTTGATCCCAGATCCACAAAAGCAAACAAACAGAAAAGCAACCCTCCAAAAAACCATCCCAGCATGCGTGTGCGTGCACACACAGACACACAAAATGAGAAATAGGATGGTTCTTTTCCTGATGAAACACATAGCTAACATCATATTTAATGGTAAGAGCAAATGCTGATCCCCTAAGATCAGGAATAAAACATGGATATTTCTACTCAACACCCTGCTGGAGGTTCTAGTCAGGGTAATTTGGCAAGAAAATGCAATAGTAGAAAGCATCCAAGTTGGATATCAAGAACTAGAAATTATTTTTATTTTTTAATTTTATTTATTTATTTTTTGTTTTTTTGAGGCAGGGTCTCACTTTGTAGTTGAGACTGACCTGGAACTCACTATGTAGCCCAGGCTGGTCTCGAACTCACAGCGATCCTCCTGCCTCAGCCTCCCGAGTGCTGGGATTATAGGTGTGCACCACCACACCCGGTGGAAATTGTTTTATGTATGATCCACGTATACTGAAAAATTCACAGGAATACACACATATTAAAACACTATCAGCACAAATAAGACAGCAAAGTTGGATACCAGGATTTCAATTTCTATTGAAATTTCTAATAATTCTATTTCTAACAATTTCTATTTCTATTCCAATTTTGTTCTACTTCTATTCTATTCTAAATTTCTTTTCTAATTTCTAACAATTCAATTTCAGCAATGAGCAACCTGAAAGCAAAATGAAGAGAGGATTTTATTTTATAATAACATCAAAAAGAATAATGTAGGAATAAATTCAATGAAAGTACAAGATTTACTGATTGATAACTATAAAGTTTAACTGAAAAAAATGAAAGACCAAAATAAACGAAGGCACTCATGTTCATACGTTCCCCTAGGCAATCTAAAGATAAAGGCAATCAATCCATATCACAACCTTCCACCTGGCTTTTTTGCAAAAACCAAAAAGCTGATCCTAAAATCCATATGAAAATACAAGACTCCTAGAATAACCAAAGTGTGACAAAAAACAAATCTAGAGGATTCACATCTGATATCAAAACTTAAAAACTATAGAAACCAATACAGTGTGATACTGGTATAAGAATAGATACAAATAAATGAACCAAATTCAGAATACAGAGTTAAACTCTTATTATGACTTCTGATAAAGGGTAGTGAGACAATTTAGAGTAAGGTTAGTATTTTCAACAAATGGCACAGGAGCAAATGAGCATCAACCTGCAAGATTATAAAATAGTACGGCCACTTGGAAGACAGTTTGATATTTCCCTCCAAAAAATTTTTTAATTAAAAAAATGTTTAATTAATTTTATTGGTACATTTAAGGTATACAATATGACATTCATCATTGGAAATTTGCACCTTTACATAATCCATCTTGGTTTCTTAAAGAAGGAAAGGTGTTTTGTTTTGTTTCTTTTGATACCAGGGATCGAACTCAGGACCTTGCACTTGCAAGGCAGGTATGATGCCAATGAGCTAAATCCCCAGCCCTTCCCTCCAAATATTAACCCCCCCCCCAAGAATATAATGAGTGTGGGCCGGGCATGGTGGCGCATGCCTGTAATCCCAGCACTCCAGAGACTGAGGCAGGAGGATCGCTGTGAGTTTGAGCCTGAGCTACATAGTGAGTTCCAGGCCAGTCTCAACTATATAGTGAGACCCTGTCTCAAAAAGCAAACAAACAAACAAAAAGAATATAATGAGCGTGTAAACAAAAGCTTATATGTGAATTTTTGTATTTCCATAATGGACAAAAACTGGAATTAACCCAAATATCCATCAAATGATGAATGAGCACAATGTAACAGATCCATACAGTGGAGTATTTGATCATGAAAAGGAATGAATAATGGATGCATGCTACAACACAGATGAACCTCAAAAATCTGCTAAGTCAAGGAAGCCAGTCACAAAAGACCACATATATGGCTCCATTTACATCAATTGTCCAGAAAAAAGCCAATCCATAGACTCACAAAATAGCCTAGTGTTTACCAGGGACAAGGGGAATAGAAAGACTGCCAGTGACTGTGAGGATTCTTTCTGGGGTGATTAAAAATGTTCTGAAATTAGTGGTTCACACAACTTGGTGAAGTATGTAAAAAAGAATGAAATGTGTATTTTCAAGGGTGAACCCCAATGAAGCTATTTAATAAACATTCAATATCCCTAACTATCTATAGGTTCACTGTAATTCAACCCAGTATCTCAGTAAATATTTTTTGTGTGGAGACTGACCAAGTACGACATGCTGGGACAAATGTGGAAGACAAACTAAAAGATGCCAAGACTTACAAAAGGCGGAACAGAGATGATACATTTTTCAACTGGCATTCCCTGTGTTACAGTTCCAAGTATAACACCACATACACACTGAAAATATCCGCAATGCCAAGGGTATTTTCATTCAAAAGCCAGTAGAAGTTAAATGCAGGCTCAGGGACAAAGGATTAAGCAATCAGAAGTTATAAAAAATGTCATTCCACTTGGGACTAAGAGGTAGATGGGAAGAGGTTGAAGAAATTTTTAAAATATGAACAGAGCTGGGCATGGTGGCGCAAACCTGTAGACCCAGCACTTGGGAGCTGAGGCAGGAGGATCAGCAAGGCTAGCCTGGGGTACACAGTGAGTTCAACACCAGCCTATACTGCACAGCTAAGACCTTGTCTCAAAGAGCAATGAAAACAAAACAAAACAACAAAAAAATGTGAATAAGAAGCTTGATAACTTCCAGAAACACCTCATTCTTGCTTAGCAGCTGTTTACTAGAAGTGCCCAGAGACAATGGTTTACAGTGGCTCAAAGTAAAAATCGTAAAAACTTGTGAAAGGAAAACATAGCTGACAGCTTTGAGGGGTGTAACTGACTCTCCTCATTCAGAGGATCACCTGGCTATACAACAGAGGGAGAATACTTTTCCTCCCCTTTTATTCTTTATAACATTTGAAAATAAGATCCATAACAAAATTTTAAAATGTGATTTACTTCTTAAGTTTTTCACTGCCCAGCAAACACGAACCTGTTCCTTTTCTAGAAGACCGGCCGCCTTTAGTCATGGGTAGTTTCTTTCTTACAGGTGGGGCCTGAAAAGTAGAGTGTTCCCTCCACCTTCGAAGCTGAAAATTAATAAACTTCCACATCATGAATGCTTGAGTAATACAAATAGATGCCAGAACAGCAATTCTGAAAAATATTAATAAAAAATTAGTGTAGGAAAATAATGCATTTGAATAAAAATATACTCTGCTTCGATAATTTAATGTATAATTTTCATTCTGTTTATAAGATTATGTTAATACTCATTCAAGTAATAATTTATCCCAGATGCTAAAGGCTTCAGTTTAGTATTTCAATTTAGAAATAAAACTAGTGCTGGGGATTTAGCTCAGTGGTACCGCTGTCTGCCTTGCAAGTGCAAGGTCCTGAGTTTGATCCCTGGTACCAAAAGAAAAGAAATAAAACCAGTAACATGTATTATACAGTGGTACGAAGTGAAAATCTTAAATTTACTGTACCTAACAGCCAACACGTTGAAGTTTCCAGTACTGAAATCCAGCTTCTGATTCTCTGCTCTTGCAAGGCCAAAACCAACAGTGAGTACTGAAAGAATTAAAGTCAGAAGTCTTCCCAAAACAAAAAGAACTGCCCACAGAGAAAATCTGTAAGAAAAATATCATTAAGTCAAATTCATAAAACCACAAACATTGAAATATTTTATTAGAAATTAGATTCCAATCAAGTAAATGCATTTTAAAACAGCATTTCTTATTCTTCCGCAAAAAAGCAAATTTCTCCTGAAGTGTCTAGGAAATGTAACATATCACTCTTAAGAGAAAAATAACACATATTAACCTATTTAAGGTTCTAAGAATCTAGTAGAAAAATGTGTGTAATTTTTTTGGTTAGCTCTTTTAAAAACATTTTTATGAGTACATGTTTATAGTACATATTTGTATTCATCATGGGGAGCTGGTATGTATTCATTTCTTTTTTTTTGTATAAATAATACTAACATTTCTCAAAAGTAATATGCAAATAATTTTGAAAAATGCCAAACAAAAAAACTGCTATAAAGAATAGGACATCAAATTCCCATCTCAGAGTCTTAGTTTTATGTTTGTTTTTTTTTAAAGACTTTACACTCTTTATAAGTTATACATCTCCAATTTAGCTTCAGTCCAACTTTCCCATGAAAATCTTTTAGAATTTTTAAGGCTATCTTATCTATTTTTATTTCCTTCTGAAAGTTTACTTTTCTATTGCTCCTTTTCCCAACAAAACAAAAACATGCAATAAACAAAGTAGAAGTCACCACAGAAAAATGAACTCCAAAAGCCTTGAAAATTTTAAGTTCTAACAAAATAATCTGAGAAAGACTTCATTTAGATTAAAGTGTCAAGTGTAAAATAGTTTCATTTTATTTAATAATGCCATTAGTTTAAAAAGTAGTAATATAAATGTCAAGGGCATGAACCTTGGTAATCTTAGCACTGTCTTTAAATAACCCACCACACACACACACACACACACACACACACACGCACGCACGATTCAGTAACTTACCCTTTCTGATATTTTTCATCACTAAAATAAAACAGGCGGGAAATGTGGAAAAGAAATTCAACAAAATAATGCAGCACCAGAAGAACAAGTCCTAGATGATTCAGGCTGTTGAAAGAACACATTCCAAGTTGAAAGGTTAATTATCAATTAAACTAGCATACTATCTGCCCTATCTACTTACACACCCAAGCAAAATCCCAACTCACTTCAAAAGATAAGCTCCAGCAATGTGAAAGAGGTAAAGACCAATGTAGACAAGCTGACGAGGAATATCTTCCTACAAACAGAAAAATACACATATTAAAACATGGTGAAACACTTTTTTTTGGGTGGTACTGGAGACTGAACCCAGAACCTTGCCCAGACTCAATAAACACTCTACCAGTGAGTGAGCTACATCCCCACCTTAAAAACAAAACAAAACAAAAAACAGTAGTAAGGATTGAACTAGGGCTTTGTGAATGTTAGGCAAATTTCTATCACTGAGCTAATTCACTAGCCCTATTTAATGTAACATTTCTGGTTTTTTGAGACAGGGTCTCGCCACATAGTCTAGGATGGTCTTGAACTTCCTATGATCCTCCTGCCTCAGCCTCCTGAGAACATTTCTGTTCTTTAAGAGAAGTGTGGAAGAGTGAAAAGTGTACTATAATAGAAGAAGGAGAGATGATGGCTATTTTTCTCTCACCTCACCCCAAACTCACATGCTGTGTGGCTTTCCCACATTTTTTTCTTGGCTTCAGCTATTTCATGTGTAAAATGTGAATACTTGGTTTTTTCAATTAGACAACGAAAAATCCCTTTCAGACCTAAGATTTATGGATCTTTTTATAATAAACATTTATTTAATAATACAATATTATTAACCAGTTATATGCTGGGAATTTGATGCATGTCTAACGTTAAAACTGCTATGTTTATTAGCATGAGACAATTTGTTTATCTAATAGTCACATTCTTAATCTTACACTTTAGCCCCTTTACTGTCAGTCATTAAAACTTAAGATTAAACTTTACTCCACTTATGATACCATCTAACTACATATTTTTTTCCCATCAATATCTCTATAAGCCCAAGTATCCAGATTTAATATTTTTCTCCTATAGTCCCTAGCTGACTATGTAGTTCTGTTATCTCAAAATCAAGGTTTTTTAAAAAAATAATTTAAGTTAAGACCTACTAGTGGACTGTGAAATCAATTTAGGGGTCACATCAGCATCTTTTAAAATATGAAAACAGCTGGGTGTGGTGGCGCACGCTGTAATCCCAGCACTCGGGAGGCCAAGGCAGGAGGATCGCTGAGTTCGAGACCAGCCTGGGCTACACAGTGAGTTTCAGGTCAGTCTCAACTACACAGTGAGACCCTGTCTCACAAAACCAGGAAGAAAAAAAGATAATGTTGAAAGCTAGGCGTGGTGGCGCGAGTCTGTAGTCCCAGCACTAAAGAGGCTGAGTGAGACAGGAAAGCCAGTGTGTACAGTAAATTTTAACATGAAATTCTAGATTAGACACACAGACACACACACACACACATTGAATTATGAGGTAAATCTTGCTTTTAATCCTGGGTTGCAGTTAAAATGTTTATAAAACACTGACAGTGATAAATAAACTCAGTAAGTGCTTGCTGATGGATGAAGTACCTCTCTGCCGTTTCTGCTCTGTCTGGTTTGGGCTGTTTTCCTCACATATCTTATTTATTTATAACACTTATGTTAGCCTGGTTAGTACTACTCATGTAGCACACCTATCTATTAAAATGATCGACATGTGGGGTGATGCTGGCAGACTGAACTGTATTTCTTAGAACCTTATTACACGGTCTCCTGATTCTAGGACTCTATGCTGCTCTATTATTTCTCCCCTTATATTTCAGTGGTGACTACTTCACCAAACCTTCTGAGAAAGAGTAGAGATTTTACAAGTCAAGTTTTGAAACTGAAAATACTTCTTTGGTCAGAATGCTGCAAAGAATAAGTATGAGGTAGAATGTAGTATAATAGTCTGACTGATTTTGAGAATCTCAGGAAATTCCTAAGATATGACACTAAGTTTATAATGATTCTATCAACTGGAAAACTATCCCTAAAAATATGTGGTCTTAAGATCCTTTCCATGTAATTTTCATAGTTCCAATGAAATATTTTTTTCACAAAAGGAAAGGAGAAAGGCTGGTGAGGCAACATGCTAGACCTAACCACAAGGGAGCCTTCTCTCTTCTCCTGACAACAATTTCAGTAGAGTTCACGTGTGGTGTTATTGATACAACTGGATGTGCTATAGATATAAAGTTGTCACCATATATATGAAAAATCAGTGTTTCCCAAAGTATAGTTTTCTTATCATTGGTATAGTACAAAATGATTTTTTAGACAGTATACAAGGAAATACTTTTAACTTTTTAATTTTGAATATTTTAAGTCAAATATATCTTATTAAAATGCCATACTGCACAGAATCAGGATACAGTCAGAAGTATGAGCTGGTAGTATGTAAATATGGTAAAACAGGATGGTGGCATGCGAATAAGTACCGCTTCTCTGCCCCGTTCAGATGTGTTAATGCTTCGAAGTTCTGATGAGAAAGCAGGCCAAGGGGACCCTCAATATTTATAAGGGACAATTTTAGCTTTTAACTGCTGCAGAGTGAAATCATTTCACTACCCAGTAATTTGCATAAGTCAATGCAAAAACACTAACATGCCATGAAAACCATTTTATAGATCTATAACTTATTAGGAATATTTAAAAAATTAACTTTTAAGAAATCTAAGTTTAAAAATACACATTGGTCATTCATCAAAGAACCTACACAATCTTTTTCTCCTCTGAAAAATCTAAAAACTACAAACCTCATTTCAGAAAACCATTCCATTTGTTTAATCTTTTATCTTTAAATCTCAACTCAATTACATGGGTCAAGGCTGTGCTTGGCACAAGCTAAGAAAAAAGATCCCTATTGCTTCTTTCCTAAATTCAGATTCAACTTTGCATTTTAGCCCTGCCTCTTGGTAGTCAGTCAACAGAGCTGATAATGACACAGGGCAAAATGCCATTACCAGATTCTATCCTTACAATTATCAAATATCGAAGCTTTTGAAATAGCATCTACAGCTTTCAAAAGGCCTGAAGTACCAAGAAACATTTTCCTAAGTAATGGTCCCTTCAGCTGCATACAAATTGACCAGTGTCTCTAGAGCAACGTTTGTTTACTTAAAACCTACTACAAAAAAGTAAAATACCACAATGAGTGGTAGGGATTGTGGCTAAATGGAGAATACACACTCTAGAAAAATACATTCTCATATGAAAATACAATAGTAGAGGAGGTACTATAGCATGGTTTTTTGTTTTGTTTTGGTACTGGGGATCGAACTTGGGACCTTGAACTTGCAAAACAGGTGGAGGAACCACTGAGCTAAATTCCTGGCCCAGTACAGCATGATTTTTAAAATGTGAAGTTTTATCTAGAAAATGGCTGTGTTTAGCATCAATGCCTCTGGCCAGACTTCCCCAACACACTCTGGATCCCTTGGTGTTACAGCCCAGAAGCATAGTGCTCACATATCCGAGACCAACAAAAGGCTTCACCTAGCACCTGGTCACTGGGACACACATACATGGGTCATGGCAAATGGGAGAAAATCAAGGAGGCTGGTAAATCTGGCCTTTGCAGAGGGAGCTCCTGAAATCCATTCACTGGACATACTGCAGATTCTAATTAGGAAACTAGCAAACCATCCCCGAGTGGCTTCTCACTGCTCTAGCAATTATAGTCTAGATTCCATAAAAGTGACTAAGAATAAGTTATTTTGTTTCTGAAAACATTTTTTATATGTCATCTTATGCTTCTGTTACATAAATTAACTTTTCTACCAGGAAACCCAGTTTGAGGTTTGGTTTACTTATTGAAGACTAATAATACTTTAATACTTAAATAGAAAGATATATACAATGGAAATGAGTTTTTAGAAAAAATTTTCAGTCTGTCTGTGGCACCAGGCAATGAACTCGGGGCCTTTACACTTAGCTGCAACACTATGCCCTGGTTTGTTTGTTTGTTTTTTTGTTTTGGTACTGGGGATCAAACTTGGGTCCTTGTACTTGCAAGGCAGGCGGTGGAACCACCTAGCTAAATCCCCGGAGCCTCCAAAATTTTTCATAAAAAAGGATAATGTCATATGTTGATAAATTTCTATTTTATAAGTAAATACATTTCTTCACAGTACTACACTAAAAAACAAACTATCACATATATACTCAAATATAAGGCAAAGATCCAAAGGTGCATATGAAAAGTGGAACATAACTTTCATGAAGAATGGAAAAAAAAACATTTCTAATTTAATGACTCTTGACATACAATTATGTATAATCAAGTCAATTATTTATGTAGGTAGGTATAATCAAAGTCAAGCTGAGTATTAGGAATGCTAGCCATTTCATGACTGTCCCAAAAACTCATGTGTTAAGTTGGCTGAGAAAAGCATAGCCTTTGCATTCTCTATGGCCTCTACAGAGATCCTAAGCAGCAACATCTTGGTATTATGATGTACAGAAATGGAGAAGGGTATTAAACCGTATTTAAGAAAAAAAAAAGTTGGCTGAGAAACTATTTACTTATTTATTTATTTTGATCTGGCCTTGAACTCTTGGGCTCACGTAATCCTCTCACGTCAGCCTCCCAAGTAGCCAGGACTACAAGGTGTTGTGTCACCATGCTCAGTCAGCTAAGACAGTACTTCAAATCTTCTCATGGGTAAAATGAAGAAGTGTATATAGTATGTATGATTTAAATTTTCTCGAAGAAACTAAGTTATTTGCTACTAATAAACTTCTTGAACTGATACTAATAGTGTTCTTTTCTTCATTTGTCTGTAGGACTGGGTCGAAACAATCACTGTACTAATTTCTTCCAGTAGAGTTCTTCCAAAAATAATTTTCATAGAGTAAATTTTAAGAAACTGTTTAACACATGCAGCTGTTACTTTCAAATTATGTTAATTACTTGAAACAGTTACTTTCAACTGTCACATGTAGGTGTTAAAAATAGTTTCAGTTAAGTTCTAAGTTATGCAAATCATTCCATAAAAATTAGATTGCATTTCTGGAGAAATGCCATCTGGCAGGAACTGAGAAGAAAGAAGCTTCAAGAACTAAAATGAACAATTACTTTGAAACGACCCTCTTTACTTATCAGGGTCAATGAACAAGATACAGACAGATTAATAATGAAAACCCAGATGTATTATGCCCAATGGTATACAAATAACAGGAAAACTTAAAATATTTGAGCCATCATATTAAGACATCAAGAAACCAATGTCTGACAGAACTTTCTATAATCACAGAAATACTCCATATTTCTTATATCAGAAATGGTAGGTACTAGAGCCGGGAATTTAGCTCAGTGGTGCCGCTGCTTGCCTCCCAATCACAAGGTTCTGAGTTTGATCCCCAGTACCAAAAGAAATGGTAGGTACTAGCGACATACAGCTAATGGGTATTTGAAATATGGTTAGACTGAGGGAAATGTGTTTTTAAATTTAATCTTGATATGCTAGTGGCTATCATTTGGACAGTACAGATCAGATCTCAATTACCTATGATTCATGTTAGGAGTTTACTAAATATGGAAAGGCTCCTGGAAACTGGGCATAATAATTTTATCTTAGGGCAGTTGGAGGTCAAATATTAAAAAATAAAGACCTTAATCCTAATCCTTATAATCAAATGGAAAAACATTTTACTTTTCTTTTTTTTTTGTTTGTTTTTTGAGACAGGGTTTCACTATGTAGTTCAGACGGCTCTGGAACTCACTGGGTAGCTCCGGCTGGTCTTGAATTCACAGCAATCCTCCTGCCTCAGCCTCCCGAGTGCTGGGATTACAGGTGTGTGCCACCACGCCCAGCTAAAACATTCTACTTTTCAAAATAATCACCATTATAAGAACTTGTACGTCATAGCACATGGACTCTAATTTGGTGCTCTTTTCCACTTCCAGCAGACAATGACAGACACACAACACATGAAATACAGACAAAGTAGCACAAGGTCCCAAGTTTGATTCCTAGTACAAAAAAACAAAACAAAAAACAAACAAAAAAAACCCTACAAATCAAGGGCCTTTACCATAAATCATTTATAGTACATATGAAAATAAGTGGCTCTGGGGAAGATAGATACATTGTCACTATCATAATTCTACTTAGGATGGCTTCTTAAAGGGGGTAAAGAAAAAACATTTAAAATGTAGAACAATGTGTGTATTAATCTATGTGCACACACAAACATACACACTTACACACTACTGATAGAGAATAAAATGAATCCCCATATATCCATAAACCGGTCTTAATAGTTATTAATAAATAACCAAGCTTCTTTAATGTATATCCCTACTGGCTTACTTACCTTTATCGGCTATTATTCTGGAGTAAATCTCACATAACATATCATACATGGAGATTTTAAAAAATACCTCCCAAAAGAAAGGGAATAAAGTGCTTAATTATCAGAGGGAAAAAGTTGTTCTAGAAAAAAAGAATTGATATGCTGGGATTACAGTAAAGACAGCATGAATAAAGCCAAAGAAGAGAGCAGAAGAGAGGCCAGGGAAGAGGAGGTGCAGAAGAAAGAGACCTTTACAGCACAGGAATGTAGTTCTGCTTTAGTTTAAAGCAGTAAGGAACTAGTACAGGTTTCAGGGGAGAAGAGCTAACTAAAGAAAACAAAGTTGACTTTTGTGATACCAGAAAAAGAAAAAGGAGGTTACTGCGGTGCCCCAGTAGTGTGCTTGTTTAAACAAACATCTTTCCCACATGCTAAAAAGGGAATGCTCCACCCATTTCAGGAAAGGCTTCTCTGGTGAATATTTAACCATGGTTTACTTGTTTTTTCTCAATACTGAATTTTTCTTTGGGACTCATACACAGAATCAACAGTTATAGAATAATCTGACTAACCCTTTTTGTCTTGTGAAATAAGTTGCTAAGAATATCAATAAGATGACATTAATATCATATTTCAAAATTTGCTTAAATTTTAACTTAAATTACCGCTAATATAATTTTTAAATGAGCAATTAATGTGTCAAATGTAAAAGATCCCTAAGTTAAAATAATGACTGAAGTTTGTTTTAAGAAATTGATTTTAGTCTTTGCGGAAAGGGTGGAGATGGGAGAATGACAGGGGAAGAGTTGAGTAAGGGCAAAGACATAAGAAAATACTTAATTTTAGAAAGGCTTTTCAACAAGAAGAAAAGACAAAATTTAAAACTAAAATCCCAGCTTACTTTTTTGGTTTTCTGGAAGTAGAGTTCAGGGAATGCATGAAACCAGTAAGCCAACTGTGATATGTAGAAAAACTTCATTTGAAATCTGTACAAGAAAGCCAAAAATATCTTTTAAATCATATTTTTAAAGGATAAGGTAAACAAATACTGGAAATCAGGATACTATAAACAGGTACCTTTATGAGTGATAATTTTGTACAATAGTCTATGTATGTTTAAGTAATTCTTCAGCAGTATTTCCCCCTATTTCTCTAGGATACTCACTCCCAGTCAGTCAGTTCCCCTGCATTATCAGGCAAAGACGGCTGCAGAAGGCTGGTGGCATGCAAATTAGATGGGAGGAGCCAGAACCCCCTTTTTGTTAATTAATATTTAGTCCGGTTGGTTACTGAAAACACAAGGAACATGATCAACCCAGCTTTCTAAACAGCTTATCAAATGGGAAACAAGACAAAAAGACTGATATGTTAAGTAAAGGAACCTAGATTAATAATTGCCCCAAAATGGGATAATCTCCATTTCATTTTCTCCTTAGGAAAATATAGTAATTCTGGCTAAATGGAACATGGAAAGACAAATAAATGGAGGCAGAACCAGAATTCAAGAAAGAGATAAGGCACATAAGGGTTCTCTAGGAGATAATACCCTAAATCAGTCCATAATCAAGCCTCCTCTTTATAGTCCTTTAGCCTTCCTGATGCCTCTTTATTCTCCATTTCCCTCTCCTCCTAAAGTCTAACAGAAGATACAAGGCCAATCTGGAATAATTTTGGGGGTGGGAGTGACAGTACTACATAAATAGGATATTTGTAACCCCATTCCGTAAAAGTTCACTAAATTAATATACTTTTTTTTTTTTTTTTAAATCAGAGAATGATTCAGTGGAGTGGGTATTATTGCTACACTTAAAGATATGTGTGCCCATATCATTCCCTTCTTTCCTTCATAGCTTTTTCTTCATTTCTCGTATTACAATAGATTTAGTGAGTAACGTCTCAGTGACAAGCACCCTGTAATCTATACAGCAAAGGTTATAAAAAGAAAATAAGAGTCTCTACTATTATTAAAGCACACACATTCTTGGTGGGTGCGGGCACAGGACTTATATAAACATGGTTAAATAACCATCAAGACAATATACAGGCACAACAGAAAATAAAAACCAAAGTGACAATTTTGGGGATGAAAAAGACTGACACAGGCTAATGTAGCAAGAAAAACTGATACGGAGAAGTTGTACTTGGGCAAGGCTTGAAAAAATGGTTAAAGAAGTAAATATATATCATACACAATAAAAAAGAGAAAAATGATTTATGTTAAATATCTTTGTAATCACTGAGATCCTGGAAACACTGCGTAGGAACCTGGGTGACTACAAGATTAACAAGATTATAGAAGAGAGCAAGAAATGAAGGGACTGGGAGAAGGGACAAAAGTATGGAGATGGACCCATGAAGAGAAGGAAGTCTGGGAAAAAGGGAGAGTTCACCAAAATTAAGATTACTGTTAGAATCTGTCGTTCAGATAACAAAGATATTCAAAAGATATATAAAACACACAGCAACATTTTTTTTTTTTTTGTACTGGGGATTGTAAGGCAGGCTTCGTGCCACTGAGCTAAATTCCTGGCAGCAATGTTTTTATTTATGGTAGCAAGACTGCCAAGACATAACTTTTGTACCTATTTTATGAACTGTTTAACCTCCTAAGAAGGATAATAAGAATGAGCTCTGCTTACTTATAATAGGACCATGTCTTATTAAGAAAGGCCTGCTAAAAACGACTTACGTCATGAGGTTATGGGGATAAGCCCTCCACAAGATTGTTGGGTCTGAGATGTAGTTTTCCTAAAAAAGAAGACATGATTATTAGCCTATTAGTATCATGCACAGATTTATACTTCCCCTTAGCAGGTTTTAAACTTAAGCCTTTTTAACTTAGTTATTTTCAATACAATTCAAATTGCTTATTTTAGCAAAGCGAAAAATACAAAGTCAAGTAGACTTAATTTCTGACTTTCAAATGTTTTTCAACCAAGTAAAAATTATGTATACAGAAACAAACAAGCAATCAACAGTCCTGGTATGTAATGAAAGTACAACAGCTATACAAGGGATGAATTTTTCTCTTGGGTAATTAGAGAAGGATTTCAGGAAAAATTAAAGCAGGAGAGAGGATCACAATACTGCCAAAATTTTATGGGATTATAATCATAAAATACTACCCAAATCTCTATTAGGTAACTAGATGCATTCAGTAAAAACCATTATGTACAAAAAATAAATAAAACCCTAGTGACTAATCTTTAACAAGAATATTTTCCCATAGAACTTTTTCAATTTTTTTATCAGTATATTACTGTGATACATAGTAAATATATTTATCGTGGGGGAAGTGGCACATATTCATACACATTAAACCTTTTTATCTCACCTTCCCTTTCTCCCATCTTTCCTATCTTCCTACTCTTTCAAAGAACCAACTCATCGATCATATATTTTTTTTTTAAGCTTCATTTCTGCACTAAGTCCTATGATTTCTATTAGCTTCAGATCTGCATTGTTCTGTCTAGATCCTTGAGATGCATCCTTACATCACGATTTGGGATCATTCTATTCTTTTTGTGTGCACTACAGCTATATCCTTTCCTCTCACAACTGCTTTCATGGTGTCCCACAGGTTTTGGTATGTTATGCTTCCACTGTCATTTGATTCTAGAAACTATTTCTTCCCTGATTTCTTCTGACATCTACCGACAATTCAATAACATATTATTTATTTTTTTTAATAACATTAAAGTTCACGTGTTTGTATAATTTCTATGGCTTTTGCTGTTCATTACTTGATCCAACAGAATGCAGCAGATTATAGTGTTTCAATTCTTATATTTATTTAAGCATGCTTTATGGCCTAAGATACGGTCTAGCTTGGAAACGCTCCTTGAGCTGTTGAAAAAAATGTGTACTCTGTTGTTGTTGGATGAAATACTGTAGGTATCTATTAAGTCCATTTAACTCTGATGTTTGTTGATTTGTCTGGTTGACCTAATTGTGAGTGCAGTATTGAAGCCCCCCTCACTGATTGTATTAGTGTCTATCTGTCCAGTTGAATGGTATACTGTTTTCCAACCTTTTAGTTTGTCTGTTTACTTCCTTTTGGAAGAGGTGTCTCCCCTGTGGGCAATTTTTTATTGCTTGTTTTTTTTTAATTAAATCTGCCAGCCTGTGTCTTTTGATTGAGTTGAGACCATCAACATTAAGGAGTTTATTGACTTCTGTTGTATTATCCTTCCAGGGCTGATACTTTTTTTTCTTTTATTTAAATACTGTCCAAGTTAGATAAATACTGTCCAAGTTAGATATATACTCTCCTTTGGGCAGTGGGTTGTTGATGGCCTCCCTGTCTCTATCGAGGTTTCTATTACTTCTCCATCAATTTTGAAGGCTAATTTTGCAGGATATAAAAGCCTGGGTTGAGGGCCAGGGGTTTAGCTTAGTGGTTCTGCCACCTGCCTTGCAAGCACGAGGACCTGAGTTCGATCTCCCGTACCAAAAAAAAAAAAAAAAAGCCTGGGTTGACAACTGTGTTCTTTTAGTGCCTGAAAAACTGCTCCAGGCTCTCCCTGGCCTTTAAGGTTTGTGCTGAAAAATCCAATTATTTTGATGGGCTTGTCTTTATAGGTTACTTGTTGTTTTTCTCTAATAGCTTTCATTATTTTCTCCTTTTGCTGAGTTTCTGGAATTCTCATTATGATGTGTCATGGAGAGGTTCTTTTCTGGTTGTTGCTATTTAGGGTTCTATATGCCTATGAATATTGGATTCTTTCCTTAGATTTGGAAAATTTTCTGCTGATTTCAGTGAATAAATTTTTTATACCTTTGAGTCATCTTCTAATTTTTCCTTTATTCCTATAATTCAAAGTGTTTTTTTCTTCTTTTTCGTCATCTAGCAGCTGTTGGATCCAGCTACATGGTATCTTGTTGTTTTTAGGGTATCCTGAATTTATGACCTACATCTACCTTGTCTTCTATTTCTAACACTATTTCTAACACCGTCCTCACAGTGCTCAAGTCAGTTACCCACTAAATTTTTCATCTTATCAACCCTTGCTTTCTTTTCATACTTTCTAATTCTTTTCTGATGTGCTCACTCAAGTTTTATATTATCTTGCTTAACTCAGTTTATTGTTTCTTCTTTAAACTTGTCAAACATTTTATTGATAAAAATACTTTATCTGGAGCCAGGGATTTACTCAGTGGTGCTGCTGCCACCTCCCTTGCAATCACAAGGTCCTGAGTTCAATCCCTGGTACTAAAAAAAAACAAAGAATACCGAATAGTTTCTCTGGTGTGAAAAACTGTAATAGTACTCAAGATCCTAATGGGATAATTAGCAAATAGGAAGAAAAGGACCAAAGGTGTAGGGACAGTGAGAAGGACAGGGAAAGGGGAATAAGGGAAAAGGAAAAAATGTGAGAAAATGTAAAAATGGAATTAAAGTGTTTGAAGGGGTGGGGGGAGGGTGAAGGGAGGGTGGGGACAAGGGAAAAAATGAGAACCAAGACCTGGCATATAAAGGTACAAGATCCCAGAAATGAATGTAGCTGTACTGTCTACCTAGAATGTACCAATAAATTAAATTAAAAAAAGAAAGAAAGAAAAAAATACCCCAAACTTTATCTGTTTAATTAAATCCTCTTTGAACATTTTAATGCATTTGCTTATATGTTTCTTCTTTTATTTCTCCAAATATTTTGACCATGTGGTTTTTGAGTTCTTTTCCTGTAGCTTCTACTTTAGGGTCCATAAGATCAGCTTCTGGGGAATTAAGGGTTTGGGGGAACATTTTGCTTGCCTTGCTTTCTCATGTTTTTATTGTTTTGTTCTGTGGGTTAGATCAGAGAAACTCTGTCACTACTGTGGAGATCCCTTCAGTTAGGTTTGGTCTCCCTGTGATGTGGCCTTCAGTTTGGTCATGTTTTGGCATTTATACTCCTTTTCAACCTACTCAGCATAATATTTGTATGTTTTCTGAGTTTCCAACCTTCTGGGTTGCTTAATATCCAGTACCAATTGTGCTTGCAAAGGAACTCTTTGGGAACCAGGGCTTAGCATTTCAGATTGTTTTGATCTTTTCTCTACATTGTCTTCAGTCCTCCCACAGAATTCTAACTCTTTTAATGTTTTTTAAAAAATTTGTAAGAGAAATTCTCATGCTACATTCATCAAACTAGGACTTCCCACATATCTGGGATTACAGAAATGCCCCACTGCACTAGATAATAAAATAGATTTTAGATGTAAAGTTTACATATGTCTATAAAATATTATTAAAACAGCAGAGTAAAATGCAGTAAGCACTGAATTGAAAAGCTGAATTTTAATCTATCTCCAACATGAAGAGTTGTATTCTACAAAATTTACTGTCAGCTGTGTAACTCTAACATGGTAAAAAAATGTATTCAACAAATTTAAAAGTATATAAACTTTAGAACACAATATAAATTTAAGGGATTGTTATTATAATATTAAAATTGATACTGCCTTCCTACTCCTCATTAGTGATACAACTTGAGGTTTTGATTGCATTACCCTCAAAATTATTCATTCTATGTTGTTTGGAAAACAGACTATTTTTAAAGGAGGAGAAAGCTAAAAACTTTGCAGTGTAGCCTGTTAAGAGAATCGCTGACATAGTTTTTGTTAATATAAATACCTGAAAATAATTACAAGATATAAAAATATCGACAGTGACTAAAAATGTGTAAGGTGTTCTGAAACAGTGAAAAGCTTAGAATGTTTCCTCTATAAAAACTGAAAGAGAAATTTATCACTGAAACTCTTAATTTATACTAGTCCCAGCTGGGGAGTTAGCTCAGTAGTCCCGCTCATAAGCCTGCCTCACAAGTACAAAGTCCCAAATTTGATCCCTGGTACCAAAACAAAACAACCAATACCAATCCTACACTAGTCCTTTATTAGAGTTCCTGAATTTTAGATGTGAAAGAATGAATATTAAGAGGGACATACTTACAGAGATTAGAATGAATGCACCCCAAATACAAGCAAAAAGGTAGAATGCACTAAGCTGACCAGATTCATTAAACTTGCTGTGTTTCGTTTTGGAGAAGTGCATTCGTCTGTTAATTTTCTAAAAATAAAAACAGCTATTAGTAAGAAAGAATAAGTTATAAAATATACTTAATATATGACTGTCATAGAATGGAGAGCTAGAGCTTTACAAAGTATAGATTTCTAAAATTGCATACTTACATCCAACACATACTCTTGAATTATGGCATGAATAATTATCGCCACTAGCATGTAGAAGAAAACTGTAGCCAAATCTTTGATACCATAGTAATAAAGGGATGCTGATTCTGTAGCTTGTTCTTCTGAAGGCCAAAAAGGACACACATACACAAAAATATACATTAAGATTATAAAAACAGCACTAGTACAACATAGTTATGGGAACAAAAGGATACTAACTTAGTAAACTTTATAGAAGATCATAGGTAATTTGCTCTTAGATATCTTGAGTCTTAGGAAGAATGAAAAATGAAAGAGACTATCTCATAAATCTGAAGCTTTAGAAATTACTTACAAAGCCTTGACACATGTTAGTTACAGCCATCAAAGACCAATCAACAAGGGAAGGGAGGCCACATTCAATAAACTGATATTGTCCCAGGGGAATACTTCATGTTGATAAAGTTATATTTGGGCTATTTGCTTGTTTTTTCAAAGAACTTTTCAAACTTTCCATCTCTCCTTCAAACTGGACACTATAATTCAGACAGAGAAACTGATTTGACTTTTGATTTAGCTTTGGTTTACAAGTAGAGATAGAAGCAACTACAACTTAATTTTTTTTTTTAAACTAGGGATCAAACCCAGGGACACTCTACATCTGAACTGCATTCCCAGCCCTTTTCATCTTTTATTTTTTGCTAAACTGCCAAAGTGTGCTGGAAGTGCTGTGCTGTTGATCACTATAGCCAGGCCGGGGACTGTGGGAGAACAGGGGACATGTGGTTGACATGAGGCCATGGTGGAGCAAGGCCTGGTGGAGAAGAGGACTATCTTCCTTCCTGCCCATTTGCCAGAGAAACGTCATGCATTCTCTCCTGCAGACCTCAGCCTTCTCCCTGGTTCCAATCAGGCATCCCCTTTGACCTCCCCCTGTGCTTCCCTTATCTACACTATAAATAAAGGTGCCTTGGAGGATGTCACCCATTCCCCTTTTTCCCATCAGGACAAAGGGTTTCTACCTGGCCTCAGCTATATCAGCTTTTCTTTGTCTTTCTTAATTTCCCAAATTTCCCACCATCATTTTTCACTCCATGAACCCTTCAACCACACAGGCAGTGTAAAAGTGAAACTTGAACTTGCAATCCTACGTCACCTTCGCAAAGTGTAGGAATTATAGGTATGTGCTGTTTTTAGCCTTTGTGATTGCTTTAATTTTTCAAAATAAATCTTAACCAAATACTTGTGAATTGCTGACACTTGTTCTCCAGCTTAATGTTTATGGGAACCATTTAGGTACCCTTTATATTCTCTGGCATATTCCAATTTCTAAACACTAACAGTTTTGAGTATACTTGATATGTAAATTACTAAATCAAGTATCTCAAAACTATAAGTAACTGAACAAAAACCTAACTCAATGTTGTTTATCTGATCTTACATTCCAAACAGAAAAAACTTCAGGGCCACTTTATGGTCTGAAAGGGTTCTTATTTTATTAACCAAATAACTCAGTCCTCATTTATGCTACTTAATTATAACAACTCAATTTACATAGCATAATTTAGAAATAAAACTTTTTGGAATAAAAACTAAAAGTGTAGTTTATAATTTCTAGAGTATACTAACATTCTTTCAAATCAATGTAATTGATAAAGGCAGAGCGCAACAAAAAATAAAAATAAAATAAGCTTAAATGGATTGTTATTCAAGGTCCAAAATATAATTTGGAGGGTCATAAAAACTGATCCTGAACACTGTCTGAACAATGACAATTATCAGATTTAAAGTATCTAACTTTTAGAATTTTCTTATGACAAGATAAAGGGAAGGCAGAGAAATGAGTAAGAAAGTTCTTTGATAGAATTTTAAGGCCACTCACAACTTAATTTTAACGAGTACTTCCAACTTTGTTCAAATGAACTTTTAATAAAACAGAAAATTCTTTATGAAAATTACTTACCTGTTGCAGGGAGGGTAACATTGTATTGAAGAGTAACAAAAATGATAGAAGCCTTTGCTGTTATCTAGAAAGAAAGAAAAAAAAAGATAGAGTTCATTTCTGACCCTCCTCCAAAGAAGCAGACCAGAGGCAAACCAATTCTGTCCCTAAGACTAAAAACCAAGAACAGCCTAATTCCTGAGCACAATGACAGGCACAATGGGAATTCCTGGTCAGCAAAGTTGAGCCTGGGAGTTACAGCAATTCACTCAAGTATTCCTCTGCAATTTAGATGAGATTATGTAACATTCTTAAGATTTCAAAAATAATGACAATAAAAATAAAGATCCTAACAAGAAAAATTTTAGGTATCAATAAAAAAAGGGGAAGCACAGTCAGCATGAGAAAAATACATCAAATGCAGGACCTACATGTTAATCTTCCAAACACTTGGCATAGTTTAGTGACCAATAAATGTTTAATTGACTTGACTACTGGAAAAAGCAGGACAGAAAAATGAAACGCTTACTAAACATTTATAGGCACCAGGCACAATACGACAAGAAAGCTAAAGCAATGATGAATGAAATTATTACCTGATGACAAGGAGCTCAACTGTCTCTGGGGACAGGTAAGCAAATTTTTAAAATACTGTAAAATCTGTTAATACCATTAACTGCGAGTATAATGAACTTCGTTTTCCCCATGTCCTAAAAAGGCTCCCTAAATGAGGTGGTGCCGGAGCTGTGCCTTGCTGGAAAATCCAAATTCCCTAGGCTCAAAAGTTGAGTGAGGAGGCGAGTACAGGTAGAAGAAACAAGATACAGCTGCAGTAAACAAGGCCAGACGTAACATCAGGGAGGGATTATAGAAAAGTCTAGACATTATTTAGTGGTAGAAAGCACCTTGCTTTTTGAATTAAGTAGTTTAGATTTTACTTTAGTATGACTGAAGGGCTTTAAGGAAGGGAATGTTCATTTATACCTTTTAAAGATTGCTAGTTGTAGCCTACTGAGTGGTTAATACCCTGCAACCAAAATGATCTACCTGGTTACTTCATCCTCCACCCTACTTGGTTAAAATCTGGCACTAGAAGCCACTTTTCTAAAATCATGTGGCTTATAACTCTGCTGCTGGACTCCACCCCTATGCCTCCTCAGAGTTATCCCTGACTACCTCCTCCCTGGCTCTCTCAAGCTCCTCCCACGAGAGTCCCTGCAGCTGGAAAACCTCTCTCCTTAGATCTCAGTTCAATCACAGGTTAAGGAAGCCTTCTCAATCTTCCAAGACATCAGGGCACTTCCAATGTCTGATTATTTCACAGAACTGTGCTCCTTTCCTTCAAAACACACACTCTGTTATGATTCTATTAATTTGTCTCACCCATTACAACGTATGTTCCACAAATGCTAGAAACATGCTTATTCCTGCTTGCTACTGTATGTTCAGTGCTAGCATTGGGCCTGGCATGGATGAGGAAACTAATCAATGCTACAGAATACCAGATAAAATACCTATTAGAGGAATCATGCAAGCCAAGTATAAGGCATCTGCAAGAGACCAGGTACAAGATAATTAAGACTTAAACTAAACAAGTGGTAGTGGCAAAGAAAAAGCACTTTTGAGGCAGCATATGGCTTAAGCAGCATAAGGCTTAAGCAAGAAAAAAAAGTTAAAGATTACTGACTGATAGTCACAGCTTTAACAAGTGAAAAGTATACTATTACTAAAAATGTGGAATACAAGAACAGCAAGTTTTTTTCCTGGTACAGGGGATCAAACTCAGGACCTTGCGCTTGCCAGGGAGGCGCAGCACCACTGAGCTACATCATAGGCAAGAATAGCAAATTCTGAGTAAAAAAGAAGAAACTGAGTTTTGCACAAACTGATATTCCTGTGAGACACATAGGTAGAAAGAGCAGCAGGCAGGTAAAACCTATGTCTAAAATTCAGCAGAGAACTTAAACATCTGGGAGTTCTATTTAGAGACAAATGTTGAGGCTGTAGAAGTATTCATATATGGAAAGTGTATCTGTAAAGAAGTAGGACATCAGACTTGTGGAGAGGGCAGAGAAAAAGTCAAAAACAAATATGCTATGGTTTGGATAAGTGTCCCCTAATGGCCCGGCCTGTGTTCTAAAGGCTTGGTTCCCAACTGGTGGCACTGCCAGGAGGCCTTCTGCTCACTGGGTGTGCGGCCTATAAAGGGATGGTGAAAAACTGATCTGTCTCTCTTTTCCTTTCCTGCCATGAGGTGAATCATTTTTGATTCACCATATACTCCCTGTTATGTTTTGCTTTGCCAAAGGACCAAAAGCAATGGGGTTATCTGAAAACAGACTGACACCTCCAAAACTGTGAGCCAAAATAAACTTTTTCTCTTATAAACTTTACTTTAGGTATTTGTTACCGTAACACAAAGCTGACTACTGTAGTTCCCTAAACTTAAGAAATGGTCAGGGGCAGAAAGGGAAAGAAGATGGGCTGGTAACTCAAAAGCCAAGGGGGAAACATTTTAGAAAGGTGCAGGATAACAGAGAGTTTTAAAACAGATGCAACATGCTGGATACTTATTCATCAGTAGTCATGGTGTGAGTGATTCCAACACAGTACTGAGAGAAGCAACCAGAATGCAGCTAACTGAAGAATGTAAGATAGACAAAACAGTACCTACTAGATGGCAGGTCGAGATTTATGTTGTTTTTAGGATGAGAGGCAAGACTGTGTTGGCAACAGTGAAGGTGCTGGAGAAAAGGGAGAAATGAAACACACAGGACCAAAGGGGATAATGGCTGGACAGATATGGCAGATATGAAACTGCAAGGATGCAGTCCTCTCGAATGTTACCTCTTAGACTGGGAAGAGGTTAATACAGGTTGAGTCTCTTTCTGAAATGCCTGGCATCAGAAATACTTTGTATTTCAAAGTTTTTATGATTTCTGGAATATCCACATACACACAGATTTCTTGGGAATGGGACTCAACTCTAAACATTCATTTTTATCTTTCATATATAGCTTATATACATTGCCTGAAGATAATATATAGTATTTTTAGTGTGTCTATGTTTTCACTACAATCTTTCACATGAGGTATAGGTGGAATTTTCTACGTGTGGTGTCCCATTGGTGTTCAAAACATTCTAGATTTTGAATAATTTTGGATTTTGGCTTTACAAATGCTCAACCTGTAGGTGTGATGAGACAGGTAAGAGAGATAATTTCAAAAGGCAGGAAACCAAGAAATCTACATTCAATAAACTCATCTTCCTTTTGTGTACATGTGTGTGGGGGGGTACAACATCACAAGTTTAAGCATAGTCAGGATCTGAATGAGAACTATTTATATAATTCCTCTTTGCAAAGGACCTGGCTAGGAAAAGTATAAAGATTACTGGATATTATTAATTCCTGAGGTTAGAAACCTGATTTGTAGTAATATCCATCAGGATAGATATGACTTTTTCTTATAACCCCTATGGATCTGTGATTTGAGAGGCACAAAAAGGCAGAAACAGTAGTCCTACACTTATCCTTGATTTCAACTGTTGTGGTTTCAATAACATGGGCAATAGCACTCTAAAAATATTAAGTGGAAAATTCCAGAAATAAACATAAGTTTTAAATTATGTGCTGTTCTCAGTAGCACGATGAAATCTTGTACTACTCTGTCCGTCTACCCCCGGACTTAAATCACCTTTGTCCAATATATCCATGCTGTATTTGCTACTGGGCCCATTAGTAACTGTTCTGGTTATCAGAAAACTGTGGAAGTGGTCTAATGGCTGACTCATTCACCTTTCTCTTGCGTTTCATACCATCAGAAGGAGGGAGAATAGAGTATAACAGGATATTCTAAGAGAAAGACCATGTTCTTATTACTTTTATTAAAGTATTGCATTCATCATTATAGCATATTATTATTAGTCATTACTGTCCATCTCTCACTGTGCCTAATTTATTAAACCTTATCAAAGTTATGTTTGTCTAGGAAAAGAGTATATAAAGAGGTGGTATTATTTGTGGTTTCAGGTATTCACTAAGGATTTTGGAGAAAATCCCTGTGGATAAAGTGGGGATACTATAGTAAAGTTTATGGAAAAAGAATACAGCAATGAGGGGGGCTAACACGCTGGAGGAAAGGAAAGGGGCCAAGGTATCATAAAATCTTGGAGTAGTTAGAGAACTGACGTATGAGTAGCAGAATGAGGAGGTGAACAACATGTTAGGTTATGGCTGATCTCTGCTATCCTAAAGTTCAGAATCTGGAACTTAATCAAGCCTGCTGACTCGTAAAGCTACTGTATTAAAATCTGGGCCATTCACAAGGATTCATTGCAACATAATGATGGCCTAAGTTTCTATTTCTAGGGCAGCAGAACTTTCATGTGGTTATTTTCAATAAAGTTGACTTAGTGAATTTCATTTACTTTTACATCTTCATTTAGACTTCATATAAACACATACTCCATGCCCCCATCTTGTTTCTAGTCTGTAACATGAGGTCACAATTACCATAGCTAAGAAAACTGCTGAGTCCTTTACAAAGAATAAATTAAATTCTTCAAAAAGAAATTTAGTATCAAATTTTAAAAGCAACAAAAACTAGATTATCCTTTTATGCTAAAATTCCAAATAAAATTAAAAGGTAACCCTCTATTTAGTTTAACATGTAATATTAAGCAAAATGAGAGGAGGAAAAATACAAAGTACGCCCCCCGCCAAAAAAAAATTTACAGGAAAATCGAACCAGAACTCATTCTGCTAGCCATTTTCAGACTTAATCTCCATTTATACCTGACCATTACTGCTTTAATTAAACAATATTACAATCAGTTGACAGTGAGATAAATTTGCAAGAACTCTAAATACACTATAGATATATTGCACCAAAACATTGCACCAAACCATAAATAAACATTTATAACAGTTTTGGACACACCATAGTTCTCCATTTATAAGAAAAAAAATGAGATTTATTCAGATTCATCTTAAGTAGGTTATCTCAAACTAATGAATTATCCACTTCTACATTTTATACAAAGTCATAAATATTATGCTTATTTAATTGAATGGTTTCATGTTGGGGCTTGGTGTC